TCGCGAGCGGTGAGCTTCTTCCAATAGCTCTTTCTTGATATCCGTATCCTGGGGGTATAACCAATCGATTTCTATACCTTAACATCCCATCCAAACACACATTAAAGTCGGGTATCATCCCTTTCTCGACTTTGTCTTTCCACTTCTGCACCTGGGGGTCCTTCTTCTGAGTCTCCTTTATCCTAGTCAATAGCGTGGAAATCACCTGAATATTACTAAACAACACTTTGTATGGTTTAAGTTGAGGATTCCATTCCCCAGCTTTTTCTAGTAACTCCCACTCTTTCACCTGTAGACTAGATACTTGAGCTTTTCGGCTAAAGGCATCAGCTACTACATTAGCCTTACCTGGATGGTATTTAATGGTGCAGTCATAATCCTCTAAGAACTCCATCCACCTACGCTGCCTCAAATTCAGCTCTTTCTGCGAAAATAAATACTTGAGACTCTTATGGTCGGTGAAAACCTCAAAGGTTACCCCATATAAATAATGTTGCCACTTTTGAAGAGCAAATACTACTGCCGCCAATTCTAAGTCGTGAGTCGGGTAATTTTGCTCATGGGGTTTTAATTTTCGAGATGCATAGGCTATCACTTGCCCATTTTGCATAAGCACACATCCCAAGCCCATCCGAGACGCATCCGTATACACTACAAAGCTATCTTTCCCGTTGGGCAAAGGAAGAATTGGTGCAGAAGTTAATCGCCTTTTAACTCTTGAAAACTGGCCTCGCACTTGGAAGTCCAAATGAATTGGTTGTGAATCTTAGTCAAGTCCGTCAGAGGTCCCGCTATCTTTAGAAAAATCTTTTATGAAGCGGCGATAGTATCCGGCATGTCCTAAGAGTGTGATCCCCGCGTACGACCCCTGTTAAGGAAATAACAAAGAAAAACGGTAAGCTTAAAGCTTAGTAAGCAAGCAGGGGCAAAATGGTAATTTTGCATCAAGTCAGATATTTATGCCACAAATACATCAAAGTCAAAGCAAATTAACAAAACAATTCAAGGATACGGATTGGCTCCAAAGCCAAGTCATTCGCCATGCGTGACCACCTGTCGACCCTCCGTCGACCACAAGGAATGGTCCGTAGAACTCCACTTTCTTCCTCCGACCACCTTACGCCCACTCTGGCCAGTATCCATACACACACATATGGCTCGAGCTTCGAATCGTATTCGAATTGCATTCACAAAATTGGTGATCTTAAAGATAGTTTGGACTAACTTCGACCAAGCCCTAACTGGCTCGAATAGTCCGTCTAGCCTTTAGATCGGGCCCACTCATAGTTTCACATCACACACACACAAAAGGTCATTCCAAGCCACATGCTTCAGGGATTCAATCCCAATACAGTTCACATATCATAATTCATATCTATTGCAAATACAAATTAGGGTTTAGGTCGAGTGAGATAAAGTACACGCTCGCCTAAGCACCCTTATATCACACACAATTCATATTGGTCACATTTAACACATAAACGCCCCAGTTACTTACTTAGAGTACAAAAGTAGACAAAAACGGCACTGGGTCAAACTCAACCGTCAGTGGGTCCCACCGTCTCCGAGCATTTCGTTACCGTCTGTGACAGAAGGTCGAGTCATAACATTGCTCAAACAGGTATCCAAATGCATACGAATAAGGAAAACAGCAAATGCAACCCATACGCGCGCGGAAATGGAAAACGGAAACGGAAATGGAAACGGAAACGGAAACTTGTCCGTTTTGGCGTCAAGAACTGTTTTGAACACAATGTAGGTTACGATTTTTGGATCAAGGCGTATGAGATACCGACGCGAAGCTAAGGAGAAAAGCTATAACTTTCATGAAGACACTTCCATCCAGTTCTGAACGGAATCAGGTCATAAGATTGAAACAACGTGCCAGGAGTTCGCACGTTTAGATGACAGACAGGGTCTAGTGGAAGAACCATAACTCACAACTCACAGACCCAAATCAAGAAATTTCAAAAGCATTGGAAAGCTAAGACATAAGGCTAAAACTTTTATGTTTTTACCAAGACTTGGATCAACTCAAAACCAAACGAAAAGTGGGTGTCAAAGTACCTGTCAGAACTGCCCAGTGTTCCAGGGAGTTCTGACACACGATCTTATTTTGGCTCTAACTGGAGCTACGAAGCTCGGATTTGGACGTACTTTATACCGCTTTGAATCTGAAACAGAGCTCCACAGTTCTTATGAAGACATCACCACCCAGTTTCATCATTATCCATGCGAACTGAGCATGGTCAGAAGCTAAGCTACAAAACGTGGTCAAACCAGAATTTGTAAGCTAAGTGAGGGTTTCGGCTATAACTCAGCCTACACACCTCCGTTTGACCTGAAATTTTGTAGGCACAACAAGCACTTAAGAAGCTACAATTTCTATGAAGGACTCAGGTTCAAATTCGGATCAGAATTGGGTCAAAGTCGTTGCAAACAGGCTGCTCAAATGGTCCAGCAAAACAGGTTCCGAAAAAAAAACAGTAAACTTTGCCGATTTACTGGTATTTATAGGGAAGGAATTTGGAACTGATTTTTATACCAGAGATAGTTCTGTGAAGCTAGTTTCTAACTCTACAAATGGCATCCCAATCCGAGTTTTCTAGCCCAAGATATAGTCGCTCTACCAAAACTGATTTCAGTCCCCTGTTTTATCCGAAGAGACTGAGTTTGTGGCATATGGTTCCATTTTTTTTTTGATTCCCAAATTAGTCTTGATTGCTCAAGAGCTTATCAATCAAACAAGTACACCTAGTATCCAGCATGCATAGCAACATATATAGCCAAAATTTAGGCAAGAATCATCATAAAATTGGCATAGAAATTGAACTACAAAGCTGGAAAAACACGAACTGCTCATATGCATGTTTATAATAGGATTTCGTTTTTTGTTTTTCAGCAGGGGTACTTGATTTCCTAGATATATAAGATGCGTAAATGAATTATAAATGAAATAGGTGTATAGCTCATGGTACCTTTTAAAAAGCAGTAAAGTGCAAGAAAAATTCCACCTGATGTACAGCAAAAATCCAGCTCTCAACCGAATTGGTTTTGGCCAGCTTTGTGTGCAATTTTTGTAGTAAGTGAGCTGATAGTTTCTTGCTAGTTTCGATGAAGATGAGAAGATTGCCAAAGTGTTTACTACGCCTGGATGTCTGGTATTATAGTAGCCTAAGCTAGCATGACAAGGATTGGAGTTTTGCCAACTCAATGGCTTGGAAAATTGACAAGTGTTCCCACCCACTTTGTCATGCTTTGGCTGGGCAAAAATCATGAAGATTCAAGGCTTTCCAAACTCTTGATATTCTCGGCCAAGCTGACCAGAATCAGAGTAAGTGTTTTCTTTTTGGCTAAATATAGTAAAGGACTAAAGTGCAATTTTGGTATTCATCGTTTGGTCCTTGAATCTTAAACGGTTTTCATCTTTGATCCTCACAAGTTTTCTAGCATATTTTGCTAGGTGAATGAGCATCAAATTGGGACCTAAACCTCGGTAGTAGGAGTGGATTTATAGCTAGAATTTTGCATAACTCAAGTGGCGTTTAAATTTTCAATATGTTATAGAAATTCACTTATGCATTTATTTTAACCATTCATTTGTTATATGTAATTTTCTAACATCTAAGCAATTAAAATAAAAGGATTCATAACATACATATAATTAATTAATTTTTTTGAGTTATCACAATACAAAAAGAAACTAGAGTTTTCTACTAAATTCGTACAAAATAGAACAAAATGCCCTTAATATCACGTGATATTGAAATCAGAGGCTAACCGGGATCTCACAACCTCCCCTTCTTAGAGCAATTTCGTCCTCGAAATTAATACCTTTGTTTGTGAACAGAGAAGAATATTCCTTCTGCATGTCTTCCTCCACTTCCCAGGTGGCTTCTTCCACATCATGATTTCTCCATAAAATCTTTACCAAAGATATCTGTTTATTTCTTAGTTCTTTCACCTTTCGATCCAAAATTTGTACCGGCTGCTCTCCATAGGTGAGGGTTTCGTCTAACTCGACATCCTCTGTGTGTAGGATGTGTGCGGGATCTGGATGATACTTCTTCAACAACGAGACGTGGAAGACATTGTGGATTCGGGACATTTTAATAGGTAACTCTAACTGATACGCCACTGTTCCGACTCGACTTTGAATCCTATACGGTCCTATATATCGAGGCTTCAACTTCTTCCCTTTCTTGGCCGCAATCGTTCTTCGGAGTGGTGTTACCTTGAGAAATACCATGTCCCCCTCCTCGAACTCCAGATCCTTTCTTCGGTGATCGGCGTAACTTTTCTGCCGACTCTGAGCCGTCTGCATTCTCTGGCGAATAATTTTAACTTTTTCTACTGCTTCTTCTATCCATGGCACCGTAGTCGAATCCAAGATCTTTCTTTCGCCGACTTCATCCCAAAAGATCGGTGAGCGACACTTACGTCCATATAGTGCTTCATATGGTGCCATTTGTATGGAAGAATGGTAACTATTATTGTATGCGAATTCTATCAATGTGAGGTGTTGGCTCCAATTTCCCCCAAAGTCCATTACACACGCTCGGAGCATATCCTCAAGAGTTTGTATCGTTCGCTCCGATTGTCCATCTGTCTGAGGATGGTAAGCTGTACTGAGATTAAGTTTAGAGCCTAAAGCCTCTTGCATCCTTTGCCAGAATCGCGACACGAACCGTGGGTCTCGATCCGAAACTATGCTCACTGGCACGCCATGTAGTCGTATGATTTCATCCATATAAAGTTGAACTAGTTTCTCTAAGGTATACTTCATGCTTACGGGTAAGAAATGAGCTGATTTGGTCAAGCGGTCTACAATTACCCAAATGGCATCATGCCCCTTTCGTGCTCGCGGTAAACCGGATACGAAATCCATAGTAATGTGCTCCCATTTCCACTCCGGCACTTCTAACGGTTGGAGCAAACCTGATGGTTTTTGGTGCTCAGCTTTTATCTACTGACAGGTTAGACATGTTTGCACAAACTGATCAATCTCTTTTTTCATGTCCTCCCACCAGTACAAACTCTTCAAATCTTGATATACCTTCGTCGTACCAGGGTGTACTGTATATCGCGAGCGGTGAGCTTCTTCCAATAGCTCTTTCTTGATATCCGTATCCTGGGGGTATAACCAATCGATTTCTATACCTTAACATCCCATCCAAACCCACATTAAAGTCGGGTATCATCCCTTTCTCGACTTTGTCTTTCCACTTCTGCACCTGGGGGTCCTTCTTCTGAGTCTCCTTTATCCTAGTCAATAGCGTGGAAATCACCTGAATATTACTAAACAACACTTTGTATGGTTTAAGTTGAGGATTCCATTCCCCAGCTTTTTCTAGTAACTCCCACTCTTTCACCTGTAGACTAGATACTTGAGCTTTTCGGCTAAAGGCATCAGCTACTACATTAGCCTTACCTGGATGGTATTTAATGGTGCAGTCATAATCCTCTAAGAACTCCATCCACCTACGCTGCCTCAAATTCAGCTCTTTCTGCGAAAATAAATACTTGAGACTCTTATGGTCGGTGAAAACCTCAAAGGTTACCCCATATAAATAATGTTGCCACTTTTGAAGAGCAAATACTACTGCCGCCAATTCTAAGTCGTGAGTCGGGTAATTTTGCTCATGGGGTTTTAATTTTCGAGATGCATAGGCTATCACTTGCCCATTTTGCATAAGCACACATCCCAAGCCCATCCGAGACGCATCCGTATACACTACAAAGCTATCTTTCCCGTTGGGCAAAGGAAGAATTGGTGCAGAAGTTAATCGCCCTTTTAACTCTTGAAAACTGGCCTCGCACTTGGAAGTCCAAATGAATTGGTTGTGAATCTTAGTCAAGTCCGTCAGAGGTCCCGCTATCTTAGAAAAATCTTTTATGAAGCGGCGATAGTATCCGGCATGTCCTAAGAATCTTCTAACTTCAGTTGGGTTCTTAGGTCGGTTCCATTCTGTGACGGCTTTCACTTTAGCGGGGTCCACCGCTATTCCATCTTTTGAAATCACGTGTCCAAGAAAAGACACCTTGTCCAGCCAGAACTCGCACTTACTAAATTTAGCATACAATTGGTGCTCCTTAAGAGTCTGTAGCACTAACCTCAAATGCCGTTCATGATCGTCACGAGTTTTCGAATAGACCAGAATATCGTCAATAAATACCACAACAAATTGGTCTAGGTAAGGTTTGAAAACTCGGTGCATTAAATCCATAAATGCAGCTGGCGCATTTGTCAATCCAAAGGGCATGACTGCAAATTCAAAATGCCCGTACCGCGAATTGAACGCAGTCTTAGGGATATCCTTCTTCCGGATTTTTAATTGGTAATATCCCTGTCGAAGGTCCAGTTTAGAAAATACAACTGCACCCTGCAGTTGGTCAAATAATTCATCAATCAGTGGCAGGGGATATTTATTCTTAATCGTAAGATTATTTAGTCCCCGGTAATCAATGCACATCCGTAAACTTCCATCATTTTTCTTTACAAATAGTATCGGGGCTCCCCAAGGAGATTCACTTTCCCGAATAAATCCTTGGTCCAATAATTCCTGCAACCGGATTTTTAATTCCTTCAGTTCTGCAGGAGCCATGCGGTAAGGGGTTTTCGATATCGGTTCCGCCCCTGGGTGGAGATCAATCTTTAATTCGATTTCTCTTTCCGGCGGTAGTGAGGTCAATTCTTCGGGAAACATCTCAGGAAACTCACACACCACTGGCACACTTTCTACTTTTAATTGCTCTCCTGGGGTATTAATCAACATGGCCAAAAACCCTCGGGCCCCCTTACTCAGCAATTTCCTGGCCCGAATCCCAGAAATAAAAGTGGTAGAGGCTAACTTTCCTTGTACATCTAATTGCAATGTAGGCTCACCCGATATGCACAAGTCAACCTTTTTCGTACTGCAGTCCAAACGTGCATAATATTTAGCTAGCCAATCCATACCTAATATGAGATCATACCCCTTAAGAGTTAATTCTATTAAATCCACCGACAACTTTCGTTCCCCTATCCACACGTCACAACCTTTGTACATTTTATTAGCAAGGATGCTCTTATTGGTAATGGGAGTCTTTATTTCTAAATCATATGGCAACTTCTCTGCCTTAATGTCTATATGTGCCATGAATGCAGGACTCACAAAGGAGTGGGTAGCACCAGGATCTATTAACACACTTGCGGTACGCCGAAATATAGAAAGCGTACCTTCGATGACTGCCGAAGGGTCAGTCACCTCCTGATGTCCCATGGCATAGACCCTCGCAGGTACCTTCGGTCGATTGCCCGCTACATTTGCTGGCTTGGGCGCGCTTCCCTCTGCCCGTGAGGTGCCTCTTTCAGCCCGCAGATTCGGGCATTGAGCAATCAGGTGTTCGGTACTACCACACTTATAGCACCTCCTGACTGCACTATTCTTCCAGCAATTTTCGGCGGTATGATTGCCTCCACAAAAACTACAGGTCTGTCTCGTCCCGGTAGTTGTTCCTCTTCTTTGACCACCTCTCTGGGGCCCTCGCTCTGCTTGCCCTCTTCCGGCATTTCCCTGGTTTGAAGTCCCCGCCGGTCGTGGACCTCCTGCTCCTCTACCCATTTTAGTGGGCGGCTCATTCCTCGAGCTTTGTCCAGCATTAAAGTTTCCAGTGCCCGGATGCCTTCTCTTTTTATCATGAAATGCCTTTACTTGACCCCGGGCTGTCTCAACCCTATGCGCTTTTTCTAACACCTGATTAAAAGTATCTAACTGAGCGGCCGCCAACGCCTCTTGGATCTCAACGTTCAACCCTTGAACAAAGCGGCGGATCCGCTTTTGTTCTGTTGACACCAAATCCGGAGCAAAACGAGACAATTTAGTGAATCGGGTCTCGTATTCTGCAACACTTAGCGCCCCTTGGCGCAGGCGAATGAAATCATCCTCCCGTTTCTCCTGTACCATCGGCGAAAGGTATTTCTCATTAAATTCCCTGGTAAAGTTAATCCAGGTCCAGGGGGTCCGCTCTCGTTCCCATTTTGCTTTTACCACGTTCCACCATGCTCGGGCGGGTCCTTCGAATTGAAAGGTAGCGAACGATACTTGTCGTTCCTCCGCATATCCCAAGGCGACGAAAATATCCAGTATACGCTCCAGCCAGCCCTCCGCCAGGTCAGGGCTGGGTCCTCCTATAAATTTAGGGGGTGCAAATTTTTGGAACCGCTCTAAAGCACGGTCCTCCCCCTCATGATTCCCTCGACTACTCCCAGGATTTTCGGAGTTGTTCCCCTGACCCTGGCCCTGTTGGGCGACCATACGCTCAAGTAAATCAGCCATTCGCTGGATGGCTGTGGCTACCTGGTCATTCTCGAGCTCATTTTCTCCCTCGGGGTTTCGTCCTCGCCCCCTACCTCTACCCCGGCCACCGGAGTCCATTTTAAGTTCAAAAAGCTAAAAGGGAAAAAAAATAGAAGTGAATTACAAAAAACCTGAAACACAAAATATTCCGTAAAATGGAGAGCAAACGCTTATATATACCAGCCAAAACAATATGTACACACATATACAAATGCACGTCAAAACTATACAAGTTACCCGACATCCGGTTGGGGCAAAACCCATTATATACAAGAGCACCTCGGCTCCCAAAAACTAGCAGATCAAATCCAGATACAAAAGATGGATAGGTAGAACAAGAGTCACATAGGCGGCCCTAAAGCGTCTCCCCTAGGGCCCAATCCCCAACCGAGCCCAAAGTATCGGCATCCTCCATTGGCTCCGAGCCGGTGGCTCCGGGTGGCAGCTCCGCGACCACATCTAGCACAATCTCACAGTCGGCTATTACGCCCCAGACCCGCTCCCGTAGCTGCCTCTTCATGGCGAAGAGGTGTAGGTGCGTGTCGTGCAACTGACGACGGAAAAAATCCGTCCTCTCCTCCTCATCCCTAAGGCTCTGTTCCATCTCCCTAAGGTGTATAGCCTGGCCGTGGGTCATTCCCCTGGCCTCCTCAAGCTGCCTGGTCAGGCGATCAACTGCCTTCCCCAGGCGGCGCCTCTCGTCATCCACCGCCAGAACAACCTCATCTGGATAACCATAGGTGAGACAACACTCACAGGGTCGGTGTGACATCCGACCAAAGGGTGAATATAGAGCATAGGGCTCCCCCAGTCTCCTCTGGTAACGAATCACCCGTCTACGCGTGACCTGGTTCACCGGGCCCCCTGCACTCAGAGGTCTAGATACTGGTCCAGGTCTCACGCCGCTGGGTCCCGTACCACTCGAACTGCCCGGTTCCATATCTGCAAAATATTAATTCGTCAGTATACCGGCTTTTCAGCTTAAAATATTTTACTCATCTTAAAAGAATCAAAGATACTTAATGTCCATCGCGTATATCTCGATTACCCAAATCCTCTAACCTAGGCGCTCTGATACCACCTGTGACGACCCCACCGCACCCAGAGTCGTACCAAAGGGTTTGGCGGACCGCCTGCCTAGCTCACGCCAGGACTCACTCACTTACATTAATTTCAGAGATAACATCACTATTGGACAACTGAACATTTACTCTAAGTACATCTCCAACCAGTGTAAAACATAAATTTGTCCAATAAAAGAATCATAATACCAAAAGATACTATTCACATTTATACATCTCCAAACGTACCATTTACAATATATACATCTTCAAAAGGGATATTCCAGTCCACTACATCACACAAAAGCGAATACTAAAACCACAAAGTGGATCTTACACAGAGTCCTAACTCTAACTGTGAGAAAAACATCCTAGAAAGTCCAACTAGTATAATTTCAAAGGTAAATTCTAGGGTTACAACTCTCGTGAAGTGTGATCCCCGCGTACGACCCCTGTTAAGGAAATAACAAAGAAAAATGGTAAGTTTAAAGCTTAGTAAGCAAGCAGGGGCAAAATGGTAATTTTGCATCAAGTCAGATATTTATGCCACAAATACATCAAAGTCAAAGCAAAGTAACAAAACAATTCAAGGATACGGATTGGCTCCAAAGCCAAGTCATTCGCCACGCGTGACCACCTGTCGACCCTCCGTCGACCACAAGGAATGGTCCGTAGAACTCCACTTTCTTCCTCCGACCACCTTACGCCCACTCTAGCCAGTATCCATACACACACAAATGGCTCAAGCTTTGAATCGTATTCGAATTGCATTCACAAAATTGGTGATCTTAAGGATAGTTTGGACTAACTTCGACCAAGCCCTAACTAGCTCGAATAGTCCGTCTGGCCTTTAGATCGGGCCCACTCATAGTTTCACATCACACACACACAAAAGGTCATTCCAAGCCACATGCTTCAGGGATTCAGTCCCAATACAGTTCACATATCATAATTCATATCTATTGCAAATACAAATTAGGGTTTAAGTCGAGTGAGATAAAGTACACGCTCGCCTAAGCACCCTTATATCACACACAATTCATATTGGTCACATTTAACACATAAACGCCCCAGTTACTTACTTAGAGTACAAAAGTAGACAAAAACGGCACTGGGTCAAACTCAACCGTCAGTGGGTCCCACCGTCTCCAAGCATTTCGTTACCGTCTGTGACAGAAGGTCAAGTCATAACATTGCTCAAACAGGTATCCAAATGCATACGAATAAGGAAAACAGCAAATGCGACCCATACGCGCGCGGAAATGGAAAACGGAAACGGAAATGGAAACGGAAACGGAAACTTGTCCGTTTTGGCGTCAAGAACTGTTTTGAACACAATGTAGGTTACGATTTTCGGATCAAGGCGTATAAGATACCGTCGCGAAGCTAAGGAGAAAAGCTATAACTTTCATGAAGACACTTCCATCCAGTTCTGAACGGAATGAGGTCATAAGTATGAAACAACGTGCCAGGAGTTCGCACGTTTAGATGACAGACAGGGTCTAGTGGAAGAACCATAACTCACAACTCACAGACCCAAATCAAGAAATTTCAAAAGCATTGGAAAGCTAAGACATAAGGCTAAAACTTTTATGTTTTGGCCAAGACTTGGATCAACTCAAAACCAAACGAAAAGTGGGTGTCAAAATACCTGTCAGAACTGCCCAGTGTTCCAGGGAGTTCTGACACACGATCTTATTTTGGCTCTAACTGGAGCTACGAAGCTCGGATTTGGACGCACTTTATACCGTTTTGAATTTGAAACAGAGCTCCACAGTTCTTATGAAGACATCACCACCCAGTTTCATCATTATCCATGCGAACTGAGCATGGTCAGAAGCTAAGCTACAAAACGTGGTCAAACCAGAATTCGTAAATTAAGTGAGGGTTTCAGCTATAACTCAGCCTACACACCTCCGTTTGACCTGAAATTTTGTAGGCTCAACAAGAACTTAATAAGCTACAATTTCTCTGAAGGACTCAGGTTCAAATTCTGATCAGAATTGGGTCAAAAGTCGTTGCAAACAGGCTGCTCAAATGGTCCAGCAAAACAGGTTCCGAAAAAAAAAACAGTAAACTTTGCCGATTTACTGGTATTTATAGGGAAGGAATTTGGAACTGATTTTTATACCAGAGATAGTTCTGTGAAGCTAATTTATAATGCTACAAACGGCATCCCAATCCGAGTTTTCTAGCCCAAGATATAGTCGCTCTACCAAAACTGATTTCAGTCCCCTGTTTTATCCGAAGAGACTGAGTTTGTGGCATGTGGTTCCATTTTTTTTTTTTTGATTCCCAAATTAGTCTTGATTGCTCAAGAGCTTATCAATCAAACAAGTACACCTAGTATCCAGCATGCATAGCAACATATATAGCCAAAATTTAGGCAAGAATCATCATAAAATTGGCATAGAAATTGAACTGCAAAGCTGGAAAATCACGAACTGCTCATATGCATGTTTATAATAGGATTTCTTTTTTTGTTTTTCAGCAGGGGTACTTGATTTCCTAGATATATAAGATGTGTAAATGAATTATAAATGAAATAGGTGTATAGCTCATGGTACCTTTTAAAAAGCAGTAAAGTGCAAGAAAAATTCCACCAGATGTGCAGCAAAAATCCAGCTCTCAACCGAATTGGTTTTGGCCAGTTTTGTGTGCAATTTTTGTAGTAAGTGAGCTGATAGTTTCTTGCTAGTTTCGGTGAAGATGAGAAGATTGCCAAAGTGTTTACTACGCCTGGATGTCTGGTATTATAGTAGCCTAAGCTAGCATGACAAGGATTGGAGTTTTGCCAACTCAATGGCTTGGAAAATTGACAAGTGTTCCCACCCACTTTATCATGCTTTGGCTGGGCAAAAATCATGAAGATTCAAGGCTTTCCAACCTTGATATTCTCGGCCAAGCTGACCAGAATCAGAGTAAGTGTTTTCTTTTTGGCTAAATATAGTAAAGGACTAAAGTGCAATTTCGGTATTCATCGTTTGGTCCTTGAATCTTAAACGGTTTTCATCTTTGCTCCTCACAAGTTTTCTAGCATATTTTGCTAGGTGAATGAGCATCAAATTGGGACCTAAACCTCGGTAGTAGGAGTGGATTTATAGCTAGAATTTTGCATAACTCAAGTGGCGTTTAAATTTTCAATCTGTTATAGAAATTCACTTATGCATTTATTTTAACCATTCATTTGTTATATGTAATTTTCTAACATCTAAGCAATTAAAATAAAAGGATTCATAACATACATATAATTAATTAATTTTTTTGAGTTATCACAATACAAAAAGAAACTAGAGTTTTCTACTAAATTCGTACAAAATAGAACAAAATGCCCTTAATATCACGTGATATTGAAATCAGAGGCTAACCGGGATCTCACACCTTGTCCCTCCAGTGGTAATACTCGAGTATACCGAAACGGTGGCCCAGGGTTCCAACCTACCCGACCGAGCCCAGTCCTGGCTCGAGTAGGTCAGTAACCAAGGGCAGGGCCCAAGTTCAGCTTAGAGCTTACAACATGCACAGGTAACCAAGTAATTCGACAAAAGGTAAACTTCATCATTTGAGTAGGTCGAGTGAGGTAAAGTGCACACTCGCCTAATAATGATGGACAGCTTCATATAACATGTGATTGATGACAATCAAGTAATCAAGTAGGTACTTAGCACGTAAGCAATACAAGTTGATTTCATGGGAGCATGTAATTCACGGGTATCGAATAGTCATGTAGATTGGAAATCATGTGAGCAAATAGTCAAGTAATCAAGTAGTCATGTGGTTGGTAAACGGTTGACGGTTAACGATTGACGGTTAACGGTTAAGTAGTGACGGTTAATTGACAGGCATTTGTCATATGAATAGGCCATCATTGGCCGTTATCCCATTTTTACCATGTGAGAGTCGAGGAGATTCACTCCAACGACGTATGCAACCTTAGCATACCAAGTCATGTTATTCGAGCATTTCCAAGCATGAGTTAGTCTTCTCAAAAGAGAACGAGTGCGATAAAGTATACAC